TGGAACTGCAGTGAACTAAAAGCTACTTTAGAAACGATACATAGAAATGGCGATCGTTGCTCAATGTATTTGGGTAAGCATGACTAATAAAAACAAGTCCTCATTGGACTAAATATTTAATTTGTACGTAACATATGTATTTAAATGTATATAACATATGTGTTTAGGTGATTCGGGGTATCCTTTGCAGCCATATTTGATGACGCCATTTCGGAATGCAAGTGCTGGCATTAGAGAATTTTATTTTAATAAAAAACACGCCAAAGCACGAAATATAGTTAAACGGGCAATAGCTGTTCTAAAATGTTGCTTTCGATGTCTTTCAACTGAAAGAAAGTTACATTATTCACCACAAGAGGCTACAAAAATAATTAATGCTTGCTGCGTTTTGCACAATATATGCTTGTACTTTAAGATGACAACACCAGAAGAAGTTGCAAACTACATAGAACCACCTAATTTTACTGAATTATTGGAGGAGCGTGCTTCCACAAATGATGGGGAGCGTCGAAGAAACGAAATTTTGTTATCGTTATTTTAATAGTTTTACATCCAACATAAAATCTTTATTTTATTTCAACAAAGGAGTTCATAAATAATTTAAATAAAACATCCTCATTTAGAGGCGGCTTCATAATTAGTAGCAAAAATATTTTTAAATTAAATTAATTCTCTGTATGCATTATTGTACCCTTTTTCATTTTAAAGTGTTGAAGTCCAAGTTAACAAGTAAGAGCAGCGCTGTCTTCGGCTATGCCGAAGGCTTCATACCTTTCATGAACATCTGAAAATTTTTCTTTCACAGCTTACATAGATAGAAGAGATACATGCATATATAAAATATCATATTTAAACAATCAGAGGTATGGAAGATATACCTTATATAGCACCAATCTAAGTGATTTTCACTGCTGTGTGATCGGTATGTAAACCGAATTTCTCAGTAGACTTTGTATTTATCGACTTAAGCTGTCCAAATAAAGGAGTTTTACAGTAAAGCCCTATATCTGAACAATCAGTTTTATGGAGGCAATAAATATGTTATAGTGACCCGATCTTTGTTCATTTTACTGTAAACTTTTTGTTGATTATGAGTGAAAATGGTGCGGAATTTCATGTTTCTAGCTGCATATATGGAGAAAATATAACAAAGAATATCATATCTGAACAATCATTTGTATGAAGACTACAGGTTATAGCGACCCGATCTTCGCCATTTTCACTGTAACTATTTTTATGATAATGGGAGGGAATACTGCGAAGTTTCATGTTCCCAGCTGCATAAATGGAGGAGTTATAACAAAAAATCGAATATCTGAACAATCAGTTGTATGGGAGCTATATGTAAAAGTGACCCAAACTTTGTAAGTATTTTGTTGATAATGGGCAAAGTATTGCAAAATTTCATGTTGCTAGCTGCATAAATGGAGAAGTTATGGCAAAAAATCTCATATCTGAACAATCAGTTGTATGGAGGCTATAGTTTATAGCGACCCGATCTTCGCCATTTTCACTGAAAGTATTGTTTTGATAATTAGTGACAACAGTGCAAAATTTCATGTTTCTAGCTACTTAAATGGAGGCGTTATAACGAAAAATCTTATATCTGAACAATCAGTTGTATGGGAGCTATAGGTTATAGTGACCCGATCTTTGTAATTTTCACTCTAAATTTTCTATTGATAATGGGTGGAAGTATTGGAACATATCATGCTCCTAGCTGCATAAATGTAAAACTTGTACCGGTGTACTTATGTAGGATTTAAACTTCCTTCTCCTACTCAC